CTCTTGGCCACGCCCACTTCTCCGCTCTGCACGAACAGCTGATCAGCTGCAGCAGGAAGCTCATCCCGCAGTATGGGCTGCACAGAGGTGCAGGAGGTGCGAAATAATTATAATAAGTTACAAGTTATAATAAGTTTGCAAAGTAGAGTTTGTATGAACTGCTATGGCATTTTAAGATGATTGTTTAAAATGGGTGGCACAGTGGAGCAGTTGGTAGAGCTGGCGCTTCTCAGCGACAAGGTTGCTGGATCGAATCCCAACTCCAGTTTCCTCCCACAGACCAAAAACATGCATGTTAGGCTCATTGAAAACTAAATTGTCCCTAGGTGAGAGAGAGTGAATGATTGTCTTGTTTGTCTTTATGTGTCCCTGTGATGGACTGGAGACCTGTCCAAGGTGTCCCCCACCTCACGCACATGACTGCTGAACATGAGCCCCAGCGACCCATAAAGGAAGAAGCAAGGAGGATAACAAATGGAAAGATTCATTTAAAGATGTCTGAATCAGTATATTAAGTGAACATCCATTATTAGCTTGATAATCTGGTCAGAGTTAAACTCTTTTTCTCCAACCTGAATTAAATTAAAGAGTTATCTGCAACAGGTAACATCTTAAAAGTTTCTCATAGAATCCCACAATGTTCAAGTGCTTTTCCCTACAGCCTTGAGAGAGCTTGAGGACACTGTACAAAATGTCACTGAACAATGTTCATAATTCATCCTACAGAGAGAAGATGCTCGCTGTTAGCACAAGCGGCTAATTAAGTTGTGTAATGAATCCTGGCTCTAATCTGTGTAATGTGTAAAGTTATTTATAGCTCACTCATGAAACTGACAATATGGCAGCAGCAGCTCTACGGAGAAGTGTTGCCAATCAGAGAAAACATTAAAGGGCATTTCCAATATTTACAGTACATGTTCATTTTCAGTTTTGCTTCACTTTTGTAGATTTTCGTGTTGATTTACCTGAGTGTTTTTGTTTTCTTAATGCTCCAAAATAAAGGCTCTGAATGGATTAAGTTTGATGAACAAGTCATCACAATTACAAATAAGTGACATTTCTTCAATATTGTCACAAAAATGTGCAAACTTAAAATATACGTGTAAAATTATGTAAAAAAAATGGTGTACTAGAAGGAATGCACATTCCATGTTAGAGTTTTAAACTAAGATCTGTTGATGGAGTTGTAGCCACTTTGGTCAAATTTAGCAAATAACAGTAAGTTCAGTCACACTGTGTGTTGTGTTCAGGATAACTCTCAGCTACTATCACACCAAAGTTTTACACAAATAATTAAACATTGACTGCGTTACAGCATTTGTGTTTGCTGAGGTTGATTAGCTGTGGCAGCCATCTTTAATTGACTGGCTTTAAAGTGTATTCAGTTGCAGCTGTTCGAATCTGAAATATTTAGCTTAAAGGCACACTTAAACATTATCACTGGTCTTTCTGTGACATGAAATAATTGTAAGAAACTTTACCGTCCATGGTGTGATCATTTTTTCTTGTTTTACACCCTGTTGTAAAGACGGCAATGTTTGATTCTTATGGTTGTTGATTTATTTTACTATATCTGAAAATATAAAATATTGTTGTTTTTTTTATTTTCTTCTGACAAATAACATTTTGTACTTTTTGGCATCAGGAAGATGATTTAGAAACAACCAAATTTTACAAAATTACCTAACTTTTTTCCTGGATCTTTGACACTTTTTTCAAATTTTTCAAATTGATTTCAAAGTTAACTAAATTTATTGGTGAATGACACCAGGTGTAAGATGTGTCCAAGAAAAGCCATGTCACTCACATCGTCAGGACTTTGACGTCCATAATCTCTTGTCTGAGCTCCCTGCAGGCTGTAGAGTTGTAGTCAAAGGCGCCATCATAGTTTTCCAGATACCTGGAGGGAGAAACACAGTCATCTGCTGCCTGCAGCGATCAACACACACCATTAAAAACAAACTGCTGGAATAATTTACAGTACCCACAGAAATTAGCAAGACACATATTTCTAATTGACAACAAAATGTCTGTGGTTTGACTTTATGAAACATTACAATATAGCAGTTTGGGATGACGAATGACAGACGTGATACAGCCAACTAGGCATCACGCACAGGACGTTAACTGTTTATTATTAGACACTTGCACCAGATTCTAAAACATCTTAGACTAAACCAACTTAGTAAAGAAACATTGACCCTCTCATATATATATATTTTTAATTAAACTGGTTATTATGGAAAATTGCAATGGCGTTAAACTGGAGTTAAACAGGTTTATATGCTTGTTTATAGAAATAAAGCTGACACTGGAAAGTATTTGAAATGGAAAATAAGAGTTGATTTTAGTGCGTTTAGTTCAAATGGTGGATTAGACGGTTATTGTCTGGTGAGTATGAGCATGGGGTGTTTGTGCTTTTTTTGTTAGCTTAAACTCATAATGAGTACTCGCTGCAATAACATATTTATTCTAAACAAAGAAACAGTTGGAGTACAGTATGTATATTATTATTAAAGTTTTTTTCGGACTATAAGGCGCACTTAAAACCCTTTAATTTTTTTTAAAAATCGACAGTGAGCCTTATAATCCCGTGCACCTTATGTATTAAGACTGGTTGTGCTTACTGACCTCGAACCAATTATATGTGGTACACGGTGCTCAAAAATCTGTCAGAATGAACTTATTTCGCTTAATGCATCTTATAATCCAGTGCGCCTTATAGTCTGAAAAATATGGTATATCTTGTTATTATATAACGCACTTTGGTAACAGTTCCTGTTTTAAATGTGCTATACAAATACATTTGACTTGACTTGACTATTATTTTAAACACTGCTATTATTAAGCTGAAAATATTACATTAAATGAATCATTTAAGGCACTTTTCTGTTTTTTTTTTTTATATAATTTATGCTCTTTGTGCAATTTGAATGTGTTGAAGAAGTCTCTTGCAGCACAGCATTTCCTCTGCATGTAATCTGAGTGAGTGAGAATAAAATTAATGGCTGTATTTGTGTCATTAGGTGCTATACGGAGGTTGAAAAGGGAGGATCGGGAAACCTCTGCTGTAATATTTATCGTCCTTCTGGTTTGGTAGAGTTGAAAGGGAGTTCTGACGAGTAAAAGAACATAAAAAGATGTCCCTATAGAAAGGTTATGAGCAGTAAGTATCTTACCTGTTGTAGATGCTGTTCTAAATTACCTCAATTTGTAGCAATAAAAATTAATTCAGATCAGATCAATGAGCTAACACAAGTTCAAGTGAGGCCAAGGCCAAAGTGATCTGCTGCCATCTTAAAACAGCTCTGATCTAAAATTTTATTGTGGTTCATTTAAATGTTACTTCACAAACTTTTATGCTGCTATCACAATACACAGTCATTTAAATAGAAATTATTATTTATGTTGGAGCCTGTGTTGATTTGTATAAAGCACAACTTGGCAGAGAAACTAATTGGTGAGTACGTGTTGCATTGTATAAAACAAATTACAGATATTTAAGCAAAGTCCAGTGGTTTCATATCCAGATTTTTCATTAGATAATTCCTCTGACTAAGTTCACGTCATATGCGCCAGTTTGCAACATGCGTTTCATGTGACTCATTACTGGTAACAGACCACCAACCAAAAGGGACTTCAGCACAAACGGTCATAAACTACTATGTAAATAACTACGTCATGCTAAACTGACATTAATGTAAAGGTTTAGAAAACATTGTTTGCATGAATTGCTGTGAAAAGTTTGAAATTGGAGTTATTTGAGGACAACAGTAATCCACTTTGGTCTTTGTCTTGCTCTGACTAGCCATTAGCTCATCTGTCCAGTTAGAACTCATCGTCATTTTTTCAAATCGAGGTTGCTCAGAGTGCTATCTACAACAGGTAAGACAGTTACTGTTCATGCGCTTTCCACAGGATACTTCTTCAATAAATTACATTTTTTAATTCCTTTAGCTTCTATAATGATAATTTGCTAAAGCCTCAAAGCATATTTGACTCATGTGAGACTAAAATGTTTATTTATTTACTCATTTTTGTTACTATGGTGAATTTTTTGGTGTAAAGGAAAAATAATATCTGAAGGGCTGTTTACTCTTTCAGCTATTTGTGATCATTTACTTCCAGGGAACTAATCCAGTGGCAACTGATGATCAAAATGAACAGTTTTTTGGGGAAGTTTTTGGGCAGCACGGTGGCTTAGTATTTAGAATTGCTGCTTCACAACAAGAAGGTCCTGGGTTCAAGCCTTGTCTTGGACCTGGGGTCTTTCTGTGTGCAGTTTGCATGTTCTCTTCCTGTTTATGTGAGTTTTCTTGGGGTACTCTGGAGTCACGGTCCAAAACATGCCTGTTGGGCTGCCTTCAGAACCGCCTTGTAATCAGTGATCTCAATGGGATTTGCCTGATTAAATAAAGGTTGATTAAAATAAATAATTAACCAGTTTTTCATATTTCCTATTACAATCTGAGTTAGGCAGCTTTGCTGTCTTTTTAAGGCTTTGTCGCAGGTTTTCAGGGAATACAAGACATTTCTGTTATTATACTCATTATTTACTAATTGTGGGGACAAAATAACTGTAGTTAAGACTCTATATCAATTTTCACTGGTAAAAAAAAAAAAAAGAGATTTTGCACCAAAGATTTATTTTTCCAAACAATAACTATAATGTCTTCTACTTTAAAAGAAAGTTGTTGGATCTTAAATGAAAGATGGTGTTTTGAAAGATGGTATGAAAAGTAAAAAAAACAACATTACCTGTGCCTGTGGAGGTAAATGAGGTGAGTTATGAAGAAAATGTATTGTAATATAAGAATGCAACGAGCAATATCATGGCATGATGCTTGAAAGTAACAAGATGCTGGGATGAAATGGTACAAATAAGGGATGATGAAACTGGTTGTCTACATCCACCTGATGATGCAGCATTTTCTGAGGTTATTCTAAGGAGAGCTTATGTAACGAGCTCCATATGCAAAACTGGGCTGCTCGTTTTTGTTTTAGCTAAGATGATGAAACCTTTGCAAGTGTGCAGGTTCTAAAAACCAGACTTTAAATAAATCACTTCACAAGATGGATGCCCGCATCTCTTCAGGCATCTTAAACTGACCAATCCAGCATTTTATTACAGATATGGACATCTGTTACTCAGCAAAATGATGATTTTGAAGATTTTGAGAGTGGGTGGGGGGAAGGTGTCACATTCTTGTCTTCTTGTAACAAAGGAAGTAAAGTGCGGGGAGAAGGTGGGTTAATCCGAGACAATGCAGATGTGAGAAGGGGGAGACAGGGAGAGCAGAGAAAAGTGTCCACACTATGTACATGGCATACACACAGAGCTGTGCAGAATACATGAGACACAAGTTGAGGAGGACCAGGCATTTTAAAGATGGGTGCTGGATGGGACACAGCGGGGACAAGGAGAAGCCAGTACATCAACAGGAGCTTCATCAACCAGCTTCTGAAGGAGGGAAGGGAGGGTCGACGGGAGGATCAGACAACATGCACGAGCAAATCTGAAGTGCAACCACTGAAAAGTATGAGAGTTTATACCTGTCAGACTAATGAAAAAAGAAAGAAGCATTCTTTGTGTTTCTGTGAAAAAAATACTAGAAATGCCTTCAAACCGGCCTACCTTCGAGGGTGGGTTTTTTTCTTCTTAATGTCAGCTAGGCAGGGTGTGACTATTACGGAGATCTGTGAATCTGGCTGAAAATTCTGACGAAAACATCTGTCAACATGCAGACAGGTTGAGTTAGAGTTAAAAATGTGCGACGTTACCCCCTGTGACATCACCACCCCTGCTAACCCCAAAAAGAAAAATGCGAATGTGTTGCTGCTGCTTGTGTTCTTTCTAAAGATGAGCGTATCCCAGTCCACACATGCAGGGCTGGGTAGTTTCCTTTCACTCTATCGCTCTCTCTCTTCTTCTTCTTCTTCTTCACACACATGCTCACACATTCTCTCTTTTTTCTCTCTCTCTCTCAGAGATGTTGTGCAGTTAGTCAGGTTGGAAAGGTACCTTTTCCTTCCATTTCTGGCTGGCTTCAGAGATCCGTCATCGAAGAAATTAACGGGGCCGGTCCAATTTCCGGTCTCGTCCCCTTTGAGTCGGCTAAACTGTTGCGCACTAGCAAGAAAATCAGTCAGTTTATATGGGATTTACTGTCCTCATGTTGTGCACACATACTGACAAATTCACATTTTCATTCATGTACACCCTCACTCATTCACAGGCCTGTCACGATAACAAATATTTCTGGGCGATTAATTGTCTCAGAAATTATTGTGATAAACGATAATATTGTTTGAAATTTGACAATAATTAGTAATTGTCAAATTTAAGAAGAAATTTGTGTGTAATGTCTTTTTTGACCACTAGATGTCAGTATAAGAATGTCTGAGCGTGTCTCTTTACGAAAAATGGGAGGGAGGCCTCTTGACGTGGCATGGGCTGTCTCTCCTTCCTTTGTTTCGGTTCTCAAAATGGCGGGCACTCGGTGTGGTTTGAGCTCTTTAGCGTAGCATTTTTCACATAAAGCTTTTAAGAAAAAAATCAGTAAACAAGTTCTCAGCTTCTTTTTGCAGAGAAAAACAACTTTTTACACGAAGGCACGTGTTTCAACCGTGAATTCAGAGCTTTGACAAGATGGAGGTTTATTCCTGAGGTCGGTCCATTAGCTTAGATTCTCAGTTTAGCTGCTTTGAATGATCCAAAAACGCAATTTTGGACGATTAAAACAGATTTTAAAGAGAAAAGGGAAAGGGAGGGGTCAGTGAGGAGCACCGGACTTGAGCCTTTTGTCATCCAGTGTCTTCAGTAGAAAGAGAGACACAAAGAAACAATGAAGCCGATAAATGAAAATGAGGTTGATAATTTTCTTTTATCATGCGATTAATTGAGTTATTGTTTATCGTGACAGGCCACTCATTCGCATACATTAATCTGGACCAGATTTTTTTTTTTACACTTTTAACACCAAATATGTTTCAAATCAATTCAGAGTTAATGGCAGCATGGTTTAAATGCTTAATTTATGCTCTGTTGAGCTGTCGCCACAACTCTAAGTGGGACTCTGGCATTTACACTCTGCAATATTGGCTTGCCGGTAGCGTTGGACATATAAATTGGTGAATTAAAGTCACTGTAATTTAAGAGGAAGACAATGATGTGTGCCAACTTGTTGCTGCAAATGTCTAAGGAAGTGATGCCAATAGATTTGCCAAGCCTCCTCGTGCTACAAAAGAGTTTAGACCATATTTTGAGCCAGATATGACTCGTAAAAAGGCATTTACACACAAAAAAAGGTCAACGGATGTAACATCACATCATAAAACATGTTTGTAAGGTCAAATTTTATAGCCTAATCCAAACTGGAAACTACATTTCATGGCATTTATCCAGTCTTAAGTTTGAGTCAAGTTGTATGATTCCTATCTTGGTACATTTTTCAGAAAAGACCATTCGGCAGGTTCTCCGTTGTTATTTTTTTCACCACACTACATTGCTTTCATACTTTTTCTAGTGGACTTGTTCTTTGAAAAGTGCCCAACACATCTGAATAATCATATTCCATCCATCCAAACTTGACTGGGTTCTCAAGTTCTATTATCCGACTGACGATTATGCAAGTGTTCATGTGTGAGTCATTTTTGATGAGGACTCTGTAGGCGTCGTGCTCATTTCAGCTGGGAGACCAAACCCAAAGAGCCTCTCTGGGTGCATTATGTGAGCGAGCATTCATCACAGGGGACTTGGGTCAGTACCGATCTGCAGGCACTTTCTAGCTTCCCTGAGTGCTTTTTTAACATCGCTATAACTCTCTGCGAGCTTTAACAGAAGTGAGCACACTAAAATTAGAGGCATTTATGCCTTTGTTTAGAACAAAAGCTACTCAAAGCAAAAATGATTCAAGCGCCATTACAGAGCACAGACCTTATTTACTAGCCCAAACACCAGGCCTGTTGAGAGCTGATCTTACATAACCATAATACAGATGCAAACAGATTGGTTTGATGTCTTTAAGTCAAACATTAGGAGAACATTGATTTCCCTTCCACTCGTTTCCTTTAAGCGCTTCATCCTGTTCAGCACTGGGGGAGCTGGATCCCATCCCAACTGTAGACCATTTATCTGATGCAGACTCCATTATGAGCTCTGTCCAGTCCATAATCCAAGCATTAGTGTACAAACATGCAAGCACAGAAGTCCTCTGCATGCTATCATTAAACCCTTAGCCTTGCCAGGAAGTACTCACAGGTTTGGTTTAATCACATTAGGTTCAGGAGTTTCCAAAACTCAAAACATACATTTTTCTCAATTTAACTTGTGATTTCTGGAGGAGTAACATCTATGAAACAGTGCCTCCAAAAAGTTTTTAAAGGGGTGGCCAGAAGGAGGACACTATTAATATTGGTATAGCACACCAAAACAAAAACCATAAGAGAATTTCAGAAGTTTAATACTGATGCCACACTTCTTCTTCTTCTTTTGGCTTTTCCCTCTTCAGGGGTCTCCACAGTGAGTCATCCTCCTCCATCTCACTCTGTCCTCTGTCCTCACTCCAACTACCCCCATGTCCTCTCTAACTGCATCCATATATTTTCTCTTTGGTCTTCTTCTTTGTATTTTTCCTGACAGCTGCATTTCTAACATCCTTCTACCAGTATACCCACTGTCCCTCCTCTGGACATGTCCAAACCATCTGGCCTCTCTAACTTTATCTCCCAGTTGTTCAACCTGTGCTGTACCTCTGATGATCTCATTCCTAATATTATCCATCCTTGTCACTTCTAAGTAGAACCTCAACATCTTCATTTCCACCACTTCCAGTTCTTTCTCCTGTCTTTTTGTCAATGCCACTGTCTCTAGACCATACAACATTTGGTTCTACCACTGTCTTGTAAACTTTTCCTTTGACCTTTGCTGACACCCTTTTGTCACAAATCACTCCTGAAACTTTTCTCCATCCACTCCATCCTGCCTGGACTCTCTTTTACCTCTTTACCACACTCACCATTTTCCTGGACAGTGGACCCCAAGTACTTGAAGTCCTGCATCTATGTGACCTCTGCTCCTTGTAGCCTCACTGGTCCACCAGCCTCCCTCTCATTCATGCAAATGTACTCTGTCTTACTACGGCTGACTTTCATTCCGCTTCTTTCAAGTGCATACCTCCACCTCTCCAAGTTCTCTTCCACCTGTTCCCTGTTCTCACCACAGATCACAGTGTCATCTGCAAACATCATAGTCCTGCCTGACCGCATCTGTTAGTCGGTCCATCACCAGAGCGAACAACATGTGATGCCACACATAGGTTATTAAACAATACTTAATTACAGGAGGTAAGAAACTGCCCTACATAATTTATTTCTACAGTTGATAAACAACACAGTTACAAGTGAACTCACTGAACCTCTCCTGCCTTGAATTCACAAATAAAACCAGCATTTCTTGAAAGAATGTGTCGCCTGCTGCCTTGCATGCCAGAGTTTTAAGAAAAGCTCTTGCGTGCTCTGGTAGCACTCAGAGTATGTGTTGGGTATGGCTCTCAGCTACTACCAGACCAAAAATTACTTTAATGTTTGTACAATTGACAAAGGTATATCCATTTTAAATGTGTTGGTGAGCTGTAGTGGCTATCTTGACTCATGCTTTCACCTTGGTAGCATCATTGCATTCATAGATTTTTAAAGATAGCTTATTTTTTTGTCTTTTAAATGTAATTTTGGGGGCAGATAGGTTTTCTAATACAAAGAGTAGCTTTGTTTTACGTTGATGTAATTGTAATCTAAGACGAACTGAAAATACAGTAAGTCATTTAACTATTTATTTTTAAATATGATCTCATGTTTTTAATTGCAGATTTAATTAATCCTGACAGTACGGGCCGCCTAATGTTGGGATAATCTTTAATCTGCACACCCACACATGTTCGGATGGTTAGAAAGCAGTTCCAGCCTACAACCTTTGTTTTTTTCTTCATAACTGCGAGTATTTTTAGATTATTTCATACACATTTTGTATGTTTTTTCACTGTTCTGATCCTAATAAACTTCTGCTGAGTCGATGATTGTAAACATCCTTCATTTTTCTGCTGATTCATAATGACATTAAAACTCAGTGACCAGATTTCTCAGGTGCAGTCATGTCCATGCCTATATGTAGAGCCTTTTGGGATTAATGTGTTCACAAAGTGAGTTAGTGTAAAGGGGATACGTCTGAACCACAATGTCTCCTCTGCAGCAAGGATCCCTGTGTTTTAGAGCCCTGACCCATATGAGTGTGGTAAACAGATTGGGTGTGGTCAAACCCATGTGAATGGCCTTGAATTGTTTGATAAGCAACATAAGACAGCTTATTCCTTTTAGATCTCCCCTTTTTTTTTTTTCCTGTAGTTCACACACTCATCCAAACACAGTCATTTCATCACTCCCTTTCAGTCTCTCCCTGTCTCCCCTTCTTGCAACTGTGCAGACAGACTGTAGCAAAATGGCTGCCGCTGAGCCCACTGGTGTCCGATGCGTGGCTTGTTCACCCCCTCTCTCCTACAGGCTGAGTGAAGACAAGGCGCAAAGTCAGGCAGAGAGAGCTGAGGGCGAGTGTGTCTGGATTTATGCATCTCCCTGCAGAAAGCAGGATGCATGAATCCAAACTGAGATTTCTCAGACCAGTCCAGCAGCATGGCAGGGGAGGGGGGGTTATAGAAGTGCAGGGGGCTCTCAAATTGCAGCAAATATATATGTTTGCTATCAAGTAAACATATATGCGCTGACTGTTGGAAACAAAAACTGAAGATGGGTGCGGGGAGTTCTTTATTTTACAGATTTATTTTTTTTTCTGACAAGATTTTTTCAAACTACCTAAAAAACAAAAGAACAAATATCCAGCTTCTCAGCATCTGCTCGTCTCACACTGAAGGGAGGAAAGTGGCCTGAAAGTTGGTGAATAATGGCTCTTTGAAAGGGTTTAAAGTGTGGGCTCAGCTCATGCTGCAGAGCTCTGCAGTGGCTGCATGTGTGCACTAATCTGGTGACATGATTTGTCACTAAAACAGAAAAAAAAACACCACGTGTTCTGCAATCATCATCATCATCATCATCATGGCTCCTGTAATAAAACAAAATGAATAAAAATAACATCTGATGACCAGTCAAGAAAGCTGGAACAGAAAAACAAACAAAAGTCTTGGAGGGGGAAATAAAAAGAAGAAGAAAAGGGGGAAACATCACCATACCCAGCTGAAGTGCTGTTTATGGTGTGAATCATGATGCTCAAATCTTTGGAAAATATCAAAAATAAATAAATAAACCCAATGGAAATAGTTTATATGCTGCTGGAGAGATAAATTGATGGTTATAATTTTTAATATATCTCAGCTTATACCTCCCAACATTTTATAAGTTTATCAGCCATATTTGATCCTAAAACGACTAATCTCTGCTTATAAGGAGATGAAATCCACACTTACCTCTTGATGTAGTTTTTGCCATAAAGAATCTGCTGTAAAAGCGTGACGAGTCCAAACGCGCAAATAAATATGAAACAGAGGGATCTGCTGCCGAGCAGATCTTTGGCCGACGACGGGTCGGAGTAGGTCATCCTGCGGCGCAGCATCCAGGCTGATGGGGACACCGAGGTGTCTCTGTCCCCGCTGCATTCAGGACCACGACTGGAGGTGTCTCATATGGATCTTGTTTTTTTGTTTGTTTGTTTGTTTGTTTTTTTCTAGGCTTTGTCGCTCCCTCCTGAGCACAGCATCATTATTACTAGATCTCTGCGTCCAGATCCAAATCAATGAAATAGCTCCAGCACGTTGGCCTAAATTCTTGTTTTGTGCGTCCGATGCAGCCGTTTGCGGACAGAGAGCGACCCAGCGCAATAAATCGTGAAATTCAATTGGAAATCGCCTAGAAGTTGATTTTTCTGTTCTGAATTAGGATGCTAATTGAGCATGAAGAGGATAAACGCACGCCCCTTCATGCTTCACGTCAAACCTGAGCAAAGCGACGTGACTGAAATGACAATAAAAAAAGAGGATGCGCCTTTTCTTAGCCTGGCAGCCGCGGGAGCGCGCCGCGCCTCTGTCACGCGCTTCTTACTCAGCCAAAGCCCCCACAAGGTCACCGTTCTCTTTTCAAGGGTGCACCTGCGCGCGTACAACATCCCAGTGCATCTGAGGCTGCAAAGCTGTGGGTTTATTTCTGCACACATCCACAGTCCGCTGGTTCGGTTCCTCTCCAGTCACCTGCTGTTTATTCTGCTGAACACTGCTGAGCACGCGTGATTATTCAGTTTTCAAGGTGAATACGTGTTCTTTTTCTTGACCCAGTGGAGGATCCTGAACGCCACACAATGAAGATAATCAAATCTCACCTCAGGCAGAAAACGTTTCACAACTCACTGACAAGCAGCAAACTTTTACATGCAGCTGAACACTGCAAAAAAATAAAAACTATATTTTTGAAGGGTAACAAAGCATTTTACAAATTAAAGGCCTTGCATTCCTTGAACCATGCATCCATCATCTTTCTGCTTCTTCTTCTTCGGGTCACGGAGGTCACTGGTGCCCATATCCAGCTATCAAGGTTGGGGACACCCTGGACAGGTTTCAAGTCCACTGCAGGGACACATAGAGACAAACAAGACAAACAACCATTCACTCTCTCACTCACACCTTCAGATGATTTACAGTTACCAGTTGAAATTTGTTAAGGAATGAGAAGCTGCTGTGATGTGCACAAATGTCTAAATGTTGCCGAGGTTTGAACTAAGAGTTATGAGGATTTTAATTCTAATCAGAGGAATGCACCGAAGCAGTTGAGAGAAACTGTTAATGAAATTGATACCAAAAGTGAATCAGTGGTTACTTTCTGAAAGTTTCATTAAAGTTTGTTTGCTGGTTTGTGAACTACTTTACTAATGCCACCAACAGAGTAGACAGACAGACAGACAGACAGACAGACAGAGATAGACAGACAGAGATAGATAGATAGATAGATAGATAGATAGATAGATAGATAGATAGATAGATAGATAGATAGATAGATAGATAGATAGATAGATAGATAGATAGATAGATAGATAGATAGATAGATAGATAGATAGATAGATAGATAGATAGATGCCATCTGCTTTACACATATTGTACAAGTGAGTCACATGTTTCAGTAAT